AAACATGGTAAAGGTATAGAAGTGGCTTATGAAACCGAAATAACACTGTTTATGTAAGCACTGTAACTTTTAAAAACACCATTTTAAACGAAAAAGCGTGAAAAACAAGCGTTTTGAGACATATATTAAACAGGAAACACGATTAAGGGAAGTTCAAGTATGATTAATCGCCATGATTAGTTACATGAACTTAGTTGGTCAACCATTCAGTGATCATAAAAAGAGAAAGGAATTAATAAACTGTTTTTTGTGCATGGATGTGGCTTGAAATCACGAATTCGAAGGTCTTCACACTGAGTACCAGCTTTGATCTTTATGAGTGTTTGTTTTAGCCTCGTAAACAACACAAAATGCAGAATTAGACACCGAATTATCCAAACCTTCCAAATGCTGTAAAATAAGTGTGTCATCATCCAGTCTAATGCTCTCTAATATATCAGGGAACTGACTAAATGTGGCATATGTCTTCACCGAAGCAGGTGAAAAGATAAATACATATTGAGTTAGTCAACCAAGACAAGTTACACTTTAGAGATAGGTATATTAGGTGTCTGTAAACTAATTAAATTAGACGGAAAGCACAGTCGGTTAGCATCACAACATATTGTAGTTGATGTTAAGTAGTAGAAGCAGGTTAGAAATCACTCTGGAATCAGATTTCCTATTGACTGTCGTTAATATAGTCACTTCAAAATCCCTTTTTATTTCAATAACCCATCCCTTGTCATTCAAGATCGAAAGCGAAAATGTTAACAATGATTTAACCGACATACTTAGGTCGGAAAACACCCTAAAAGTACAGTTGATCGAATGTTATTAAAGATAAAACAAAGTGGTTTTTGTCACTTTTCAAAATGTCACTAAAGTATCAATACCGTATAATGTCATTTTTTATCATTTCTTTCATGAGTTGAGTTTATCCACTCTTCATTTACTGCAGTTCAGTCTGGTGGGCTATTTTAAAAAAATACATACTTCGGAGAAAATACTTCATTCAGTAATGTCTTGTGTTTGAACACTGTAACATTGATTTTCCCCTAACATTTATTCATGAGAATACCGATTCTCCTCTAAGTATATATTTGTAAGTCACAGCATATGAAGTTTTTTTAGAGGTGATAGGAATACATGGAGCTAACATATTAGCACAGGAGATGATTCTACTACACATATTCTGGTGAACAAACAGTTTCTATAATGTCTAAGCTGGTTTACATCAAAGATAACATACTGATTCAAGGATATCAAAGATGAAGTCAGCTGGAAAAAAACTTAACAGAAGGAAAGTGAATTCAGTTCGCTGGTTAAGAGCTAAACTAGATAGATTTCACATTCCTGGTCTCAAAGATACTCGACACAACACAATTCAGAAAGTAAATGTTATGAATAAATAAGAGAAAGGAATTCATTCCTAATGGAAAGACTAATTTCAATTTCTTACATAACAGTAATTGTCACTTATCACTGTTACGTTTAAATAATAAACATGGGGGCTGTGACTATTCTTCATCTTCATGGTTAAACTCAAAATCCGTTATTTTGTACTCGCATAAGCTCTGCTTTCTTTTTAAATGCAAAATGTACTTTCTACCGATCTCTAGCTTAAAATTACAGTTTAGTAGGAAAACACTGTAAAAGAAGACTAATTAGCAAGTGGTCCACAGTGTAAAGCTAGGTGACACCTATGAAGTGAAGACAGGAGTAAGACAAGGTTACCCACTATCACCGATGATCTTCATGATTGTAGCTGACTGGACTGGAACATTCAGTAAACCATGAGGAGTGAGAAGATGGGCGTATGCTGACTGGACTAATGAAAAGACCCCAGAAGAAGATTTGGATTTCGCTATCGATGATGATTTATGTCTAGCGTCTTGTCGCACAAACTCGAAGATGTACAGACGAGGCAGGGCAGAGAAGGAAGACAGGACCTCAAGTGAATGTGGAGAAGGCAGAGGTGGAGGTGATGAAGATACCCAACCAACAACAGCATCTGCATCACCAGCGAGCACCAATCACCATGAACGGGAGAAACCTGGAGAAAGTAGTCTCTTTCACCTACTCAGACAAAACAGCATCTTTTCATCTACAGCGGCGATGGTGGCACAGATGAGGATGTTAAAGCGAGGATCGAAAAGACAGCAAGACAGGCCTTCATTAATCTGAAATCAGTGTGGTGATCTACTGCAGTCAGCATAAAGCATCGACAAGATGCCGATTTTCAAGAGTAATATCAGTAGTTCAGTGCTCCCATGTGTTGGTTCAGAGACTTGGTGGCGCGTCACGAAAGTATTTCCAACAAACTACAGACATTCATCAACAGCTGCCTACACTTACACCTACACCTACACCTACGCCTACACCTACACCTACGTCTACGCTCACTCGATACTGACACTGAAGATCAGATGGATTACCAGAATAATAAGAATAAGCAACAAGGAACTCAGTGTGACTGGCTGGTAACGGAGCAACCAATAACCCAATACTCAACAAATATGCAGAATAAGAAAGTGGAGATGGATTGGATTGGACTTGACTGGACATAGACTGAGAATATGGTTTGGGGACATGACGTGCTAGGCTGGGTCGTCAAGTGTAATCCAGGTAGGTGGTAATGGACGAGTTGGGCATCTGAGGTGAGGGTGACATGGAGGAGATGGTGTGAGTAAGCTTGATGAATGTTTGTGGTCATTGGTGAAGTCAGGTTGAAAAGACTGTAGAGAAGCGAGTGTAATGGAGACGTGTGACTGAAGCCCTATTTTCCACTAGTAACCCAGGGAACAAATAATTATAATAATGAATTAGCAAGTTACAGAATGGCTAAATCCAATGTATCTGGCAGTTAATTATTCCAGTTTATTCAGCCCAATTACCTTAATTCTACGCTTTAAATAGTTTAATGTTTGGCGCAGACCATCAAGTTATCTAACTCCTGAAATTAACTGCGAATTCCAACATTTTTATCAGTTGCTATTTGCAGTTCAGTTTTTCGTTTTCATCGTCTACTAAATAAATTTATTTAGTCTGCAATCATAGCATCTAAACTATTTCTTTCCATCTCCAAGAGTTAATTAATACGAAAAATTAAAGAAAAAATGTCGTAATTCATTTTTTATGTTGTTTAAATCACTATTTCAAACCCAGTTGGTTTCAATGGGATAACTTAAAAGTCGCCCAAAATAATCTCATGATCTGGGTTCTCAGTAATAAACAATCTATAGTTGATTAAATCACACTAAGCATGTCTAGTGATTCAAAAAGTACATTTCATTAGGCCATTCACAACAAGTTTAATTTCTATGAAAGTGCTTTAGCTAAGTTTGTAAATGAAAACTAGATTATAATGGCAGATTTGTTTACGCATATAAATCTATACCCTAACATGAGCAAAGCAACAAAGGAAAACATGCCGAATTCATTATATCCCATTCAGTTATCAGCTGCTGTGTATTAAATGATGATACTACATTGTTACGAGTAAATATAAACAAAATCTGAAATTTAAAACTGAATAGTTCATCGCGGTGCATAAAAATAACTTGAAGTTGAAGGTTAAATATGGCGTAATAACAACAATTCAAGGTGTATTTCATTGTTTATTAGTTTTCACACTTCATATTATGCTATTTCTCTTGCGAATGTACTATTGATGTCAATATAATTTATCATGTGCAGCGATTCGTCCATATCGCTATATTGTCAAACGAAATGCAACTACGAAGGACGGTGTTATTTGGAACCCAGTTTCCTAACCTTTTTCGCTTCACGACCCATCTGAGTTCCATTGAGTCCTTTCTTGTGTACACAAGCACAAACATCTTCCTTATAAGTTGTGGACAGACAGCCAGAAGAAATCCCAATGGCTATTGTTACTCAAATAAAATGGTGCTTCATTACAGATTAAGCATGTTCACGATTGATGTTTTGCATGCTATCCTATTACATAAGTACTTCAAGAATTGGAAAAGTAAGCTATCAGGCAATCCATGCTAGATAATAGTGTTAGAGAAGACCCTATAGCTTGCAAAAGAGTTGGAAGAATCCTGAAACTATTTTCTAATATTCTAATAACAAATAATTCTACATAAGACTTAAACCTAAATGTATACAAACCAGTTTAGAAACCAAGGTTATATTAAACTTTCTAACTAAATACATCAAGAACCAATGAACGATATAGTTAGTAAATTTGCCCTCCAAATGTGTCATTCAACAGTTCACTGATACAAGTTAGTAATATAGAATTTCCAGGTCAGGTGGCTTAGAATAAACTGAGTTCATTATGCCAACAAGAAATAACGTCCTCGATCTCACTGAGCGGTTACTGTTCAAAACCAATATAAATGGCTATTGTATTATATCGATAAAAATACAATGTTTTTACTTAACATTTGGCTCTTATTCTCTTCATAATACAAAGTTCTGAGTATCAATCAACAGTGTTGAGTTTAGGTATTAATAAACAACCAAAAACTCATTGTTGAAGAATTTCTATTCTGGGAAATACTAACTTGTGCCTAGATTTCAAGATTTAGGTAGCTGAAGTGATCCTCATCGTCGCATAGGTGGCCGATAAAATGATCTATGATATCAATCATCATACAGTCAAGTTGTGATATGAGTCGCATTAAGAAGTGTTTCTGAATTAATCTGGCATCTAAGAAATAAGAAACTGTTTTCTATTGGTTATGATCAGGTTAAACAGTTTAGGACAGAAATGGAACTAAAACCTCTGTGGTATTAGTTTCTTACATATCAGTTGCCATATCTTTGCATTTTTAAAACATTACCGTAAAATAAATAAAATTTTCTCTACAGTTCGGCTAGTATTTATTCATTTCCCTATCCACATAACAATCTTATCATCGACAATGTATTATGAATGACCCACATCACGTAGTAAATTTATTTCGCTTTCTGACAGCAATGAAAATACTTTATAAATTACAATTGATAAGGCTGTTATGATTATCTGTTTTTCTATTTTAACCTAAAAGGGAATGACAAGTCTTATTTTATCTACTGATATGGCAAGGCATGGTGAAATCTTAGAGACAATGAGAAGACATTTAGAAGAAGGTTTTTCAATGAATAAAAAAGAACATCGAGAAACCGTAAGTGTACGCCGAATTTATCAAGCTTAAATACTTTTGTATATTTCAAAGAAACAAGATCGACAAGAAACTTAGTATAGACTAAATTCATTTTGTTCCAATGCCTCTGATCAGATTAAGCGGTTATCTAGATACCTATCTAGATAGTTCTTGCATTCTGAATATGAGTAAAGTAGAAAGAAAGCAGAAAAATACATATTCCTGGTCAGACAAAGCCGCAACTAATGAGTTATTTCTGCAGTTGCAAGTAGAAGAGGAACAGGATAAAAATGAAGGTGGGAGAACCAAGTAAGAGGCTAAGTAACCCATCAAATAAGTAATGAAAATTAGATTTGAATTGAGTGAACGAGTTTAGAACATAAAGAGGTGGAGAATAAACGATTTTAACGAAGTCTATAAAACTTTTATCAAGTATCAACGAATCATCGTTCGGAATTTCGATTGTGATAAGAACGACTGCCGAAAAACGTTTTTTATCAGTCTGCTTTGTCTCAGTGATTTTACCAGAGGATGGCAGACAACTTTTAGTTTGAAGTGGAGGAGAACTGTAGGCATAAACATCACATTTACAGCTTTCACTGTGGATAACAAGTATCTGACAAGGTCAAGTATTTTACTGCGAAAATAAACTTTATTACTTCAAGTAAATAACTCAGCATTCCCATTCATTAGACTTGCTATTTATACTAATAGCTTCCATTCATTGTATCAGCTAACAAAATCAGAAGTAACTATCATAATTAAAGCACATGAATTGAAATTAAATGACACATATATGAAGTGTTATTAATGCTTACTAAGATAAATATATTTCAGCAGAGTGATATTATCTCGAGTAGTCTCATGAGTCATTACAACGATGCTTCCTTTCTCTAATTCATCTCCGGTAAAACTGGGAGAGGAAGACCTAGCTCGACAGTCAAAGTTATCGCAATGAATGAACAGTCACTTATCACAGATTCATGCGGCAGCTTACCAAAACCATCTGTGATTGAAGTTGGGACCTGAATAGCAACTACGTCTCCCAGCTCAAGTAGCCAAGTAGCAACTCAACAACCCTAAAACCAATGTTATGAATCCTACTGTAACCAGAGTTTTCTCCTCCCCTTCGTTAATAACTTAGTATCAACAAATGTAAACTTTAATTCATGAAGTACAGATGATGAGAAAAACTCACTGGAAGCCGAACAAGTAAGAGGAACTGATTTGCAAAACCTGTTAATACAGATCGAATCTCGAAACTCAGTTTAAAACATTGAGATTGTGGAAGAGAATATTTCCTGATAGAAAACATTTGCCAGATGAATCATGTGATGATATGGTATTATTTAGCGAGTGACATGTTGAGTGCAATTCCTTTCTCAAAATCACAGTTAGCCGTTCTTTCTTGTTTCTTGTGATGCATGACTAATAAATCTCAAACTTTTCGTTCACTTTTACTGCATGGATTAGACATTATTCTGACTCTCCCTTCAATTATTTATTTTGATCTTGAAGAAGATTACGTTGATCGGTTTGCATGGGATCCATTGTGTCTAAAACTTCATCTGATAAACAGAATATTACCAAAGTTTTTTACATGAAGTGGGGAAACTGAAGAGGAGAGGTCATTTTGAAACGGTAGACTTCTCTATAGTTCAATATTGTTCTAATTTAATGGTGAAATACTTAAAACTCATCTGCCTCACTTCCACAGATTCATGTACTAAATCAATGTAAGGCAAATGAATGGTAACTATTCATTTTGACGCTGGACAACATAACCCTTTTTATTCTACCCTATTAACGCGGCTGTGATTTGAGACACTCACCATCAAATACATTTCTTAAATTAGTACGAATGCCTCTGAAAAAGAACAAATATGCCAGAACTGATAGATATATTTAGTATAAAGATTAGAAGACCAAAATAACGAAACTTCAAAAATACCTAATACCTTTTCCCTAGTTGCTGGGTATCCTGACTCAACATCCACACGATATGTGGTCTTTATCATTGCCTTGCAGTATCGAGAATATCATGGAAATTGAAGAGAAAGTATGCATGTTTCGATTCAGTTCGGCAACTACCAGGAAGGTGCCTGATAAATCTAGTCAATGTGGAGGTCAAAATTCCATGTTTTCAGCCAAGGGAAATCCACTGGTTATCAACTTGTTATGCAAAAACCTCTAAAAATGATTAAATTACGTGTTTATCAGTCACTTGATTCAGGAAGGATTTCCAGGAATTATAATGGAAAACCTCTGAGTGTGCTATAAAGAAACATGATGCAGACATCAAGTAACCTTCGGAGACGTTAGTTGATGATTATGCTTTCCGACGGACTGACCAGGTTGTGAAAACGAGTCATTTTATTTTTATGAGATTGCCTGTGAGTGGTGTTCTAGCTAGTGGTGAAATTATAATTATTGAAGTTAGTTCACGAAATATACTATTGGCTTCGTGCCACTGAGTCAATTATTGGTTCTTGCTAGACCAATAAAGTTGGTGTAAATGAAGAACTGTTGTTTCGTTAACTTTGGGGCTGAGCTAACTAGAAGTGCACTCGGATTGTTTAGCCCTCTGAGTGAAGTTATTCAACCCACTTGAATTCTGATTAGCTAGATGAACGAACTTGCTACAAACGAGCGAAACTGATACCCGGCATTTAGATCACTTTGATCTGACTATTAAACATTTCTGGTCGCCTTGAGTGGTCTGCCTTCAGCGGTCTGCCTTCAGTGGTCTTTTTAATCATGGGGACATTTTGATCGTCAAGCAGATCACACTACGCAATCTGAATACTTTGGTTTCCAACATATAATATGCTTTCCACAAATAAATTATTCGATTTTTCAAATCATTTCTCTGTAGGACTAGGAATTTATATTATTAATGAGATATAGAGTGAAAGGTTTGTGAACCATTTATTTTCTTCATAGTCTTCTACGTTTCCTCAAAGTATTTATTTTCATAAACAACTCTTTGATCTAATCTTAGTTGTATATGGCACTAATCAAAATTTCATATTATCTTCCGAAATTCTGACCCCTTTGTATAGGTTCTCATTAAAAAAATGCCCTATCAATATAAACGTCGAATGATGTTTTTTATTCATGATTATCACAATAATTATGAGTACTTTCTTATTTTTATAGTTTAAGATGGTTCTCATCAAATGTTGTGATATCTCAAATGAGGTAAGACCAATGTCTGTCAGTGAGCCATGGGTAGACTGCTTACTAGAAGAATACTTTAATCAGGTAAATAAAACTTTGATGGAATAATTTCTAGTCATTACAGCACTTACTTTTAGTTATTTACCGGTTGATATGTTCAGTAAAATACTATTTAATTCTTCCTAACATTTATAAGTGACTTGACACTCATTTTAGTTTAGATGTTTATGGAGATTTATTTCAGACATTGATGAGGGATATAGTGGGAGGAAAGAGCTGTCTAGTATTCCCAGACGTTGTCGGTCCATAAGGAAATCTACCTTCCGATCTGAAAATTATCATCAAAAATAAACCAATAGGTACTACTATTTTAAACTGAGAAATTTATAGGCCAAGGTAATAATAAGTTTGTTTCACCTGTTGGCTAAATTAATGATTTAACTGGACATCTTACCATTTCGCATTAGTTTTACAGATAAAATTAATTTCAGTACCCCAGACTTTTTACTATGGATACCCATACACGAAAGGAACTTCTTTCTACTTGTATTTAAAAAAAGGTATAAAAGTAATTGCCTAATAATAATTTCTTCAAGTTGTTAAATATAACACGGGACTGACAACCCAAATAACAAGAACAGTTTTCTTGTGGGGAATAAACATCAAATCAAATAGTTGGAATCTATAATGGTGCTTAACCAACTTTCCAAGTAGATAACTCTTAGCAACTTTTACCTGGAACACTGAAATTTCCCATTCAAAAGGTCAAGTAATACGGTTGAAACATCTTTCACTTCATTGGTGATTTACGCAGCTTTCAGCATCTTAAGAAACGTTCTCCTGATCGCTGTTAAAGCCAGATCTTACAATTAGGTATCGTGTGATAGGGACTCTGATGCTGGTGGTAAGCCGTTACTCAATGCAGATAGCAATTCCATCTCTAAAATGATTGCTCTAGCAAAGCCGAAGTGTGTCTTAAAGTCAAGTTTCAACTTTCACCACATAGGTTATCCGAAGTTATATGAGAGGTTGCGTCTACGGCTCAATTAAGACCCGCGTATACAAATCCACGAGTATAGAAAACTTGACATGTGAAATATATTCAGCTTGAAAAAATAACTCAATCTGTATTTATTCGAGTGACTATAGAAATATCCCCTTAATTTTAGCCGTCATCATTATATATACAAGAGAGTTACTATTTCAGATACACCGAAAGGAGTGGGACTAAAAATTAATGAATCATTGCGCTGCTTCATCAGCAGCTACAAAATATAACCCAGATTAATATCTGAAGGTTCGTAGAGATTTATTAATTGGTTTTACGTCAGAAATCCACATGAACTGACATCATTTGGAGGGAAATTGGAAATCTAGGAGCACTGGATAGCTGTTTCATCCTAGTCTGCGACCATGACCTCGCCAGGTATCGAACCCAAAATCTCCAGGTTTCATGTCCAGCACACTACCATTGAGCCACTTGGTTGGAATCCAGTGGTCTTTATTTCCTACTTCTGTCAGTTCATGATATAACGCGACCTGCATCCAATGTCGTCGTTGAGTAACTGTCCTCCAGTGCTCCCAGGTTTCGAATGTCTCTAACTGATGTACGTCCATAATGAATTCCAACCTAAAATAAACTACATTAGTTTTAATTCTTATGCGTAAATGGCTTTGATAAATAAAGCCTTAATTAATACTTAAAGATCACTCTCTTGTTCTGGGTTAACTTATGACTCAAAGTATCGTGAACTATAATCTCTGAAATATCCTTCGTATAAAAATCAGCTGTCTGACAGTTTGATTTCGGCTTATTACTCTTTACAATTATTAACTTCAGGCCAAATATATTTTAAATGGTCTGTTTATGATGTGCGTAAGTCTGATTGGTTTGAAATCAGTGGATTTTCCTTGAAATCAACTGTTACTGAAGCTTGCCAATCAAGGAATAATATGCATGCATATGGCTAGTAGTAATACCAGATGATCTAGCTTTGATGCTTTGAAAGGCTTTTAACCATCTGGTTGAACTAAGTCCCTGTTTACTCATGGTAATTATCATAAACTCTCCTTCAAGGACATTCTAGTAATTACTACGAGAACGTTTTACATATGGAAATACACGCAAACTAGTACCAACTTGTAAAACAAGATAATGTCCTATTTTGTCTCTCGTTTATTTGCTTATATAGTCTGATAGGGAGAAAATGGAAGGTTTACCAGTTGCACCATTTATGGATCGAGAAAAAGTGACCAAACCATCTGCTCAAATCGGTTTTATCAAGTTTGTATTAATTCCAATGTTCCAAACTGTGGCAAATGTAAGTCGTTATCAATGCAATGGCCTGTTGTTCACATGAATTTGTGCTAATTTTTTTAAAGTATCTTTTGCGAACACAAAGTAAAACGTTCGTTATTTTCGTCAACGATACGTGCAGTCACTTGGAATTTAAAGACCACCAAATTTGCTTGTTCAGCTATTATTCCATTTATTTGTCATTAAACCGATATACCATATAGATCAATAGGAAATCCAGGAACCTGTGAAGATATCGGTTTCTCTAGGTCTTGGAAAATTCTTTGCCGACGCTTTACAATATGCTGGAAAGATAATTCTTTTGGCTAACTTTGGCCATGATAAGTCGAAAGGAGAAATTACAGGAAGTATCTTTACCGCTGAACTATCTTGCATCTTTATAATTACTTGTCTTGTTTAATCTTTCAAAGATAATCTGGGTTTTATCTGTTCATTGCTTCAGTGGGAATGTAGAAAGTTTCGTCTGTGAAATCCAAGGGTGGTAGTCGGTAGGTATGTAAACTAAGCTTAATTATTCTAACCTAGATTGGGCAGAATGACATCAAACCACTCTTTGAGTGTAGACCAGTATCAGTGAGCATATTAAGAGCGCAGAAAATAGTCAACAGACTAAGTAGGTGATATTAACAATCAATTTTCGATCAATACAATGTGCTAGATATGTGAAGAAGGATTGCAAATTTTTCTAATGATATGATATCAACGAAAAATAGTATGAAAAGAACTTCAATAGGTAGTTTCTGAATAATAAAACAACTATACAAATAGGGATATGATATGAAGCAGCGGTTCATAGACAATGGATGGGAATAATCCTATATATTTTATAAAATGATGAGAATACTTGTAAATGATCCTTAATGCCTTGTTTCACACTCACACTTTGATGGCCAGTGCTTAGTATTCAACTCATAGTTGTTATTATCCCAGTTTTCTCATTCATACTCAATTCTCGGCTTTTATTACGAGTCGTGTTCAGTCATTATTTTTGGCAACGTTTCACCAATGAATAAATTCAATCCATTTTTGGTTAGCTCTGACAGAGTTAATATCTCATGAACTTGCAGCAACTAAGTGGTCAGTTCAGTCTATTCTTCTTTATTGTCATTATTACAGTAAATTCAACCCTTTTGATTATTGCCTGCTGATTACCAGTTCACCGTATCCTAATGGTTCATACAAATGAGATTCTTTTCATTATCTTTCTGTTAACAGTTCTGTTAACATGAGAACAAACTCCTATCATCTGAACTTCGAACTGACTACACAGCCTCCTTTTTAAGTCACTTCTCTTTTTTCAGATACTTGATGAATATTTATTTACTTGCTTGCCACCATATGTTTGCCACTGAATCTACATCCACTTACCAACTGGGTTAAAGAATTACTGCCTACTTGATGAACCTCAATCTATGGTTTTCCTGAGGATAGGGGCACCATTGTACTTTTGTTTTCAAAGTGAGCAGTAAAAGCTTCTCTGTTAATACTAATCTTTCATTGTTGCCCTCTGTCAGTCAAAATTATGTGGTCTTAAGTGGTGTTTTTTTCCCATTTGCCCGTTCATCAGGATTGTTACATCGATTCATTCCCTCAGATCTGTTGGCTGTTTGTACTTATGGACACTGTGTATTCAGGAATTATTCTTTACGTCTTTAATTAGTGTATGCTCAGAGTTAGATCTAGGTTTCAATGATATTGATTGATATACTGTAGAATGACAGATTCCATGTAACGATTCATCAGATCTATCGAAAGATCATGAGTGCATTTTTACAGATAGAAATCAAACAGTTTGATATGACTGTCCTAGTTTGCAGTTAACTTTAAGATGACTATCCATGTTTACTCAATGAAATAAACTTTAATGAGATTGTGAACTTTAAACCATTGATTCTGACAACTGTAGTAAAATTCATTTTATTATGACTACCAGACAAAATGTAATCTTTGTCTAAACAAAAAATGATAAGCGACAGAAAGGTCAGAGGTAAAGCAGAAGAACAGCCAACAGGAAAGTCTATACAATCAGTGACACAACAATCGAAGGAAACAACCAATCACAGACCACCATATCAGAACAAGCCACTAAATTACTCACGGAGAGATATTGACAACTCACTTCATACTGAAGTTATTGTCGGTGATGTTGTCTAGGAAGACGATGAAAGCTTCACGATTAAACAACCCAGCTCAGAGAACACAATACAACCAAGAGAGAAGTTTTCTTGTGACAACCATAGGGAGAATGATTTAACTAATATTATGTCTAAGATCCTAGAATCCATATTTAGCAAACGCCTGACTGGAGCTCGAGAACTGCAAAGTCGAGATAAACGGACAGATTCTAGACCTGGACGAGACCTGCGTTGATCACACCTTAACTCTACCACAGGTTCTGGAACACAATAATGTTTACCGGCAAGTGGCTTACACCTGCCATATTTTTCGTCCTGAAGGCGGTATTTGTCTCTGTCGATCGTGAGGTATTGTGACAGTATCTGACTGTGAGGAGAATACCGGGAAAATATATAAAGCCAATCAAATCTCTACACGTGAACTCATCCAACCATGTAAAGGCTAATGGAGAGTTGCCATATCAAGTGGCGACAACTAATGGTGTTCTCCAGGTATGTCTACAGTCACTGTCCCTATTTAACTTCGTCAGAGATGTATTAATGGACATAGCCCTACATACATCCGACGTCACAGAGACTGACCTACTCCCTGGTGGTCATCTTGCTGAGTATAAGTATGCAGACGATGATGTCACTGACAAAATGCAGGGTCTTGTGAACGCGTTGAACAGAAATCTGAGTATTTTTGGAATCCGTTATGCACCTATCAAATGTAAGATGATGCTCCACGACTTGTATGATGCAAGTTTATCCATCCATCCAAATCAACATAAAATCAGGCATTACTGCCTAACGGTCCAAGTTGCCACACCTCATGTCAGTACATCAAATAAAAAGGCAGATGAAGATGAGGAAAAGAAAAGAAAATTCAGTCAAAAGAAATATAAAGTACGAAAAGAGAGAAAGGAAAAATGAGAAAACGGTGGGATCCGGTTTAGCGTTAAGATGAGGATAATGTGTGTATATATCTGCGTCACTCACTTCGATTCTGAGCAATATCACCTAGAGCCTCCAACCACTGGTTTCTCTTGTCCCGCGGACCCCAGCCACCCAGTCTGCATCACCCTACCTACATGGCTCAAACCAACAGTCGAAGACTTCATGCACTGATACCATGTTTTATTCTGGCCGCATCGCTCCTTTCTCAAGCCTGAACCTACTTCGGCCAACATTGTGTAAAGAGACAGCCGGCGACTAGGCAAACGTAACACACGTCCCAACCACCTCAGTCGATGAAGGTTCACAACCTCGTCAACCGACTCACCTCTTCTCCCCGAAACTCTACACCTGACTTCTGCATTGTTCAAGTGGTGACGCCACGGAATACGGCTTATACTACGAAGGCAATGGTGGTCAAACATCTGAAACCTTCTCAAATCTTCCACCTTCAGTGACCATGTTTCACAGCCATACAGTAGAACAGAGGACTGCTGTGCAATATACGCAGCCCTTAGTAGACAGTCGGATATCACGGCGGCACCACATGTGGCGTAATTTGGCGAGAGCCAATCGAAACTTTTGTATCCGTGCAGAGATTTCACCGGCCACTGAGCCACCATGGTAGGGCTGATCCTACTTCCCAGGTAAGTGAAGTAGTCAACACACTCAACCATTACACTCTCTATGGTTAGCTGTGACACCGTTGAAGACCAACCCTGGAGCAGCAATTTGCATTTGGGTGGTGAAAACCCCTCCTGAAACATTCTCAGATTGCCACTGAAAGTGTCCAGGAGGCTCTGCATCTTGTAAGCGTCTTCACTTAACAGGACTATGTCACCTATGTATTCCGAGTCTAACGAAAATCCCCCCTCGATTAGGTCAACCTCTGGGTAGTCAGGTGACGAGAGGGAAACCTCTATGAGAATATCTATGATAAAGTTGAATAAGAATGGAGAGAATGGGCAGTCTTGACAGACACCGGATGACGAGTACAGCTCCCCAGATATCTCACCATAGGCTCTAACATGCCCACAAGAGTTCGAGTAGAGAGCTATCAATAGGGTGATGTACTTTTTCGGCACGCCTTTCAGCGAGTGACATTGCCATAAGATTTCTCGATCAATGGAGTCGAATGCCGTTGCCCTCGGGTTGAGAAATACAGCTAGTGTTGGGTGTTGGTAAGCGCGTCTGTGTTCCAAAACCTGGCACAGTGTAAATGTTTGGTCATTACGCTCACAGTGGAGTCTAAATCCTCTCTGGTTTTCTCGGGCTTGTTGTTCCCGAGCTCCACTCAGGCGTCGAAGAATTGTAGAACCTAGAATTTTGGATACTGTGTTCGTCAGGCTGATTCATCTGTGGTTATCACAAGAGGACTTCTCGCCTTCTTCGAAGACTGGAATAATCAGTAATTGAGATCAGTCGGAGGAGATCGTATTTGATTCCCATATACTAGCTAACACTTCCGTTAATCTGATTAAGAGCACTCTACCAACATCCTTGTATACCTCTGGAGTTAGTCGGTCTGGTCCTGATGTTCTTCCTCGTTTCAAGTTACCTGCAGCTTTCTCGACTTTTGTAAGTGTAGGAGGGCCTGTCTGAATGTTCCATTCAGGATCCGACTGGATAACGGGCAACGCAATGGTGGCTGGAGGCCAGTTAAACTGCTCCTCGAAATGTTCCGTCCATCGTTCCAGTTGTCTCCCTTGCAAGTGAATCACAGACCCGTCCTTCTCCGCTATAATCTCAACAACCGTTGTTGACCGCTTTCCCCCAGTTTTCTGAATAAGTCTAAATGCCTGTCTACTGCTACCAATCGCCGCCGCCTTTTCCATCTATTAAGCCTTCACTGCCCACCACTTTCCACGGTCGTTGCACAGACTTTTTCTCAATCTACTTTTAAGCTGTGCCCGCTTTTCATTGTACTTGCTGCCTGAAAGGATGCATTCATGTGCACCCATTAGTTTGGGAAAATTTGCTGATATCTACTGGCTCCTTTTAGCCACTCTTTTGAAGTTGGCTACGGTCTTCAGCGCTGCTTTTATGGCAGACTGGAGATGGCACCAAGATCCTTTTGGATGAGTGACAGTGTTCTGTCCCGATAACTGCCTAGCCTATTTTTCACTGAAAGCGGCTTCGATGTTTTCTTTGTCGAGCTGGACTCGACATCCACTGAGACGCAGGCATATATGTGCTTGGACCAAAGCGTGACCGCTATCCAAACGCTTCCTCCAGAAGGAACGGTAGTCTTCCACCGATACTCTCCAGCGATGACTGATAGCAATATGGTCTATCTGCGTCCATCTGATGCAAGTAGTCCCAGTTTAATGATACATAATGAGTGGAGTCGTATCAGCTCAAAAGGTTGCTTTCTGACGAGATCTCAGCTCGGATAAACAGGCCTGTTTGGTATTTACCAACTTCCGTCACCTGTGGAGCAAACTGGTGAGATATCTCACTATCTTTCAAAAGATGAGTATACTCCACTGCATTTTGTTCTGTTCTGTCATGCAGATGTGAGACATGCAAATTAAAAGTAGGTATGACAATTGAAGATTTCTGATCACAGATTTCTTCGTAACATTGCTGGCGTTCCGTGGAATCATGGTGTGAGTAATGCTGTAGTTAGGCGAAGGGCACTAGGCAAGAGAAGGAGTTCGATGTATGAGCTTGTGAATCCTAGTCGGCCGAGGTGGCTTGGACATGTGCTGCGCTGGCTCACTCTTGGCCTTCATCAACGTGCCATACAAGGGGATTTTGGATAAGGTTGGAAGAGGGTTCATTGTGGCCAGATCAAGCAGTGGCTCCAGTCGATAAAGCCTTTCATTGTTGTCCTGAGCTGCGTAGGAGGATGTAAACCGCCTGGTTGATATTCTTAAGACGAAAGAAATCAGCGGTTTAGGACCCTTGATAATATGGGTGCAAACCAGTCACCGTGGTACAGATATATTCACTCTTCAATGTCTTCTAAAGGTCGAATACTTGCGCCAACCTTTATGTTCAAATTGCTTATTCTCTCGCACAACTTTATCTACCTTCAAAATACTTCTGGTAAACTTAGCATAACCAGTTAAAATTAAATATTCCCTCCTATCTATCATCCGAGAAAAAATTCATTTCTTGAACAACTGTTAATGTTAAAGCATACTCTTGGAACTGCAACAGGTGTGATATGATTTGATTCCATAATGTCATAAACAAAACAGTTTACTAGATTAGCATTTTTATAGCATAATGAATAACCTTATTGGCTGCAAAAGAATGAACATAGTTCAACCAGTAGTGTCCGCAAAAATTCCCCTGTCTGAGTTCCTGTTAAACTTCATTGTAGGTGTAGTAATGAAAGTAACCTCCCATATTTCTACCTACACAGAGACTGACCTATTCTATGTAGTGTATTTAGTTTTATCGGAATACAAAGACGACATTGTCTTGTTGGCAATGACGCTGACAAAATGCGGTCTTCCGAACACCTTGAGTGGAAATCTGTGTATTTTCGGCATGCATTCTGCACCTGTCACAATTAAAATGGCGTTTGAGAACTAGTCTGCAGCTACTCTAAGTTTTTTAGGATAAGGAATAAAGTGATTGAGTGCGCTGACCACTTTGCTTACTTGGGAAGTTACATCAGCACAAGCAGTTCCTGACCAAACCTCACCTTTGCTACAAAAGACCCATTTGGCATTCCTCAACCTGAGTAATCTCTGGTTCCGGGGAATTATTTGATTACATGTTGAAGGATGAGTATACTTCATTACAGTTCACTCTACCCTGTTATATGGCTGAGATAAGGTTGTTTGAAAGTAGATGTCTAGAGATCACAGTTTTTTTGTACACAGGTGCTAATGCAGCATTGTGCACGTATAATGGATGTTTAGATCCATAGATATCACTGCTTAAATGAATAGGTAGCAAAATAGAGTGATCTAATATCCTACTCAATCAATTAACTGTGTGCAGAAGGTTAAAACAGGAAAACCAAGAATAATACTTTTTTTTACTGATTAAATCATTCTTCAAATTCATTTACAGGTTTATCCAATCATTGATGAACTTATGGTGACACAACTGAAATCAGCTCTAGAACGATATGAGAAAATGCAGGCGGAAGATGGAGAGAAAAAACGAAATCCCAATTTAAATGAAGCTGATTAAAGGATACATAACATAAGAAGAGAACAATGAAGACATGAGAGAATAGATTAATCAAACACAGTTTGTATGTATATAATACTTTACCTTCCATGTTAACTGTGCAGTTGCTGAAGTCATTACATTGTGTTTATGTCGACAAACATTTTCGCTCATCATTTATTAACAACTGGTCAATTTTACTTGAAAAAAACAATTACTTTTATAAATTGACATTCAGAAATAAAAAAGCACAAAGATGAATTTATTGCCTTGTGTTTCAATTCTAACACATCCTACCCTGAGCATTGGTTAACATCGTGAAGCTATTCAGTTGAGTTTTAACTCACTTTATACCTAAATAGTCAAATATGGAATATACACATCTCAATAGACCTTGGTTGTAACCTAAGCCAGATTACAAGACGTATATCTTTTTTTTATACCTTAAGCTTGTGAGATACTTTTCTTTTAGTATTCTCTTTGAAACTTCATTCTTTAACGTGTCGATTAAATCACTGAAGATAGACATTGAACAGCTGTGAGAAATGATGAAAAACATCTATAGCTTTGCATGAGGATGATGGTGGTTCGGTGTTCCCTGAACTTCGATATTTTGTCGCGGATGCTTCCTCACTAGGCTTGGTAACATCATCACTAACTTCATAAAGAATTAAAGCATCTTTGGATATATTTAGCTGAATATTGTCTTTAAAAAGTATGAACAGACGCTTTTCATCCAACAAATAGTCATCCAGAATGAAAGGAGACTCATTCTATCATAAAAGTAGAAACCAAAGTGTAAAGCAGTAAATTTCAGGTAAATTCATTTGGAAAACAAAAGGAATACAATTGTAGAGGTTTAGATCGCAGTACTTCCTACACAAAGATTTTACATTCAACTCAATATACAAATATGACTTCCCATCCATAAAACGGTACATGACAAAGACATTTAATATTTTAAAAACCTCAGAGAGCAATACATACTTTACAGTTATATGAAGCTTTATGCAGAAATATGTTGAATATTGTTATAAAAATTTCCCTAGTTTCGGCTTTAGGGACAGAAACTTATGTACTGGTGTTATTTGTAAATGAAATCGAAGTGAAACTGAAGCCAATACTAGAGATGATATTTATCGGCCACTGTATCTTAAACCATCCATTAGACGGATTGACTTGTCTCATAATATTTTTTGCTTATTTGATAAAGCACACAGTAAGACAGTATTATTTACTGAAGGATATTTCTAGCACAAATTACTACCCATAATCATGTCAAAGTAACCACACAACTTCTCATAGTTCTACAGCTCTGAATTCTTGCTCTCAGTGATATATCTTTAAAACAGGTGTGCATATATTCGGTGTTCATTCGATGAAGGAAGATCCCCCTTTACCACGAGAAGCTCAATTTTAAGATTACTACAATGTTTCATACTATTGTATGATTGTGTGAAATAGCAGGCACAGCTATAGCTGAACCTCTTTCCCAATTTCTCGTCTTACTGGGGTCTACTACTTTTGATTTAGCTAAGTTTTCATGCTGGGAAAGCCTAGCTGGTACTGACCAACTTCTTGAACTTGGCAACCATTGTAAGGGATTTCTTATAGTAAATTATTTTACCTTGCTGGAAGAACGCGACCTTTCAACCTAAGGAGCTCGTTCCTGAGTTTTCTGGAAGTTGAGTGACTACACCAATCACAGCCCAAACCCAAAAACTCACTTTGAACCAAGCTTAGTAAAACCCAGATCATTACTGATTTATCTTGATTTGACTATGGACAGTGGATCATATCCAAAACGTTGTGTTGATAATATTTTTAATCGTTTGTATAGTGCGTCAAACGAAAAAAGAAATTATGCTGTAGTCCACTGCCCGAAATCCACTTCTCTCTTAACTAACTGTTAGTATGTCAGTACTAGATCTAATCATGAAACATTGACTATGACGTTTTCTGTTACGTCTCCTCTTCAAGAACAACGGATATTCAGAATAAAGGCAAACGCATGTAGACTGGTAGACAATGATGTATTAAAAATTGTATGTAAACATTGTATTAAACTGCATTACATCTTAAGTCATTGTGAACACTATCCTTAAGAATATGATGTTAGAGACTGATGAAAAACCAGTCTATCTGAACGATTCACACCTAGTTTGAAATGTCTAAATCCCAGATGATAAGCTACCTAATAAATTGTCACCTTATAGCCGTCCATAGCAGGTTAAAGACGTCATTTCTAGGATAGTTTTATCTTTGATAAAGACCGATCAAAACCTTCTTTTTATTAGGTAGTATCTGAAAGGAGGATTCATAGTGCATTCTTAGCACTGTACGAGACTCATTCACTCAGGTCACTTATAATTTTGTTGATATTTTCAGTATCAATCAAGTCAAAAACCGAAACGTTATCCACCAGGTTACAAAAGTGCCACCGAAACAGATTGAACGGGCACTAATTTGTTATTACAAAGTTCTTTTCTTTCATGAAGCACAATTTATGAATTCTACTACAAGCTAAAGTCCAAATATGTAACACAGATCTAACTAGAACCAATATCGAGACATCCAAAAAATATAGAAGAAATGCTAACAGAAGTTGGTTGATTCAGTTTTGCGAACCAACAACGTGAAATATCAAAATCTTCAAGTAACAATTTTTCTTTTTGAAGGTCTTATAAGTGTGAGCAAACCTATGGAGGTTTAGTAGGCTAAGCCTGCATGATTTTCACAACTCAACTTTATACAGACTAAATAAAAGAACATAGGATGCTTTTATGATAAACGTTTGTTGTAGAAAATTGTATGTCGCTGCTGCAGGACTTCTACCCAGTACACAAACACTGAAACTGTAGTGAAATACACAAGATTAATTGTGTTCTTCAAAAAAAGGATTACCAAGGTAATTATAATATGACCGAAAACAGCTATCAATAGTAAGAAATATCCTTATAGAAACACCAAAATACAATGTATCTAGTGAACTGAACATAATACATGCAGTCTACGAAAAAAATGAGCAATTTTGAATAGATTACAGTCCTATGTGTTTCAGAAATATTGACAGCATGTGACATCTGTCAAGTATTTTTTTTAACTACAGAAACATTTCTGCCGTGAGTGAAAGTTCATCGGTCAATTCAGGTAGCCTATTCACGTATCCTAATGACATCAAGCATGTTTAGCATACAATGAACATATCAGAGAATGCAGACTGTCACCTAAACAGCTACTTATTTTCCAGTTACTTTCAAAAGTAGGTCCTCAATATCCTTCGGAAAATGTTCATTTATTCACTGGATACTAGTTATTTGAAAGCTTGCACTCTGCAGGAATATGACATGAGATAATAAGCAAGTGCGATGTAGTGTTATCGTGAAGAAATTTCAACTCAGTCTCCTACACATCGTTAATGAGTGTAAATAGCTCATCTGAATAGATCCTGTTTGAACTAGTCAATCGGTAGGGAATATTTTGATTTTGTTCGCCAAGTTATGGGTCCATTTCTATGCACTGGTAAATTTGAATATACAACTGAAAATAAGGTGAGATTTAACAACTGTCAAACCAGCATTAAGATTGTTCTATTCGTTTTTCATATAATTGGTGGTCCCCTTCAAAAATTTTAGTAAGGCTAGAATAACAGTGTTTTTCAGAATACGATGAATTCATTGTATTTCATCGCCTTCTTGTCAACTGCTAACAGGTTATAAATTCATAAGATATATGTAGAGATAAATGCAATCCATATAATTCACTTATCAAGAAGATGATAGTCCGTTAACGAGATGATGAAAGAATAGATGCAGATTAAGGAAGTTTAAATGAAATAATGCTTATGTAGTCAAATTGTCACCCTGCTACATGTGGTAAGTCAAAAAAGAGGATAGTAAGTTATTAGTGAAATTTATGTTAAGGTCAAGTAGTAAACTTGTAGAGATGAAATAGGAAACGACTATGAAATTACTTTTAAAATGGAGGTGAAAATACATCATTTTAGAAAGGATTGTACAAAAGAAAAAAACATAAATCAACGGCTACTATTGAAGTTGGAGGTTAAAAACTGCGTATTTTACATGTATAAGTTTGATGCAATTATTTGAATGGAAATAGATTCTAGGATGATTATTAAATCAGTGTTGTCTTGTTTGTTGATTATATTCAATGCCTTCGATTTCTGGAAGCCACGTGGTGTATCCAATGGCTGTTTAGTGATAGAATCCATATGACACTCCTTTATTGGTATTACATAATGGCCCTTCCGTTCCTAGAGGAAAATAGGGCTTCAGTAACACGTCTCCATTACACTCGCTTCTCTACAGTCTTTTCAACCTGAATTCACCAATGACCACAAACACTCATCAAGCTTACTCACACCATCTCCTCCATGTCACCCTCACCTCAGATGCCCAACTCGTCCATTACCACCTACCTGGATTACACTTGACGACCCAGCCTAGCACGTCATGTCCCCAAACCATATTCTCAGTCTATGTCCAGTCAAGTCCAATCCAATCCATCTCCACTTTCTTATTCTGCATATTTGTTGAGTATTGGGTTGTTGGTTGCTCCGTTACCAGCCAGTCACACTGAGTTCCTTGTTGCTTATTCTTATTATTCTGGCAATCCATCTGATCTTCAGTGTCAGTATCGAGTGAACGTAGACGTAGACGTAGGTGTAAGTGTAGGCAGCTGTTGATGAATGTCTGTAGTTTGTTGGAAATGCTTTTCTTCACGCGCCACCAAGTCTCTGAACCAACACATGGGAGCACTGACTTACTGATATTACTCTTGAAAATTGACATCTTGTGGATGCTTTATGCTGACTGCAGTAGATATCCACATTGGTTTCGGATTATTGAAGGCCTGTCTTGCTATCTTTCCGATCCTCGCTTTAACGTCCTCATCTGTGCCACCATCGCCGCCTGTAGATTTAAAGATGCTGTTTTGTCTGAGTAGGTGAAAGAGACTACTTCCTTTAGGTTTCTCCTGTTCATGGTGATTAGTACTCGTTGTTGTTGTTGTTGTTGTTGGCTGTGGTGGTGGTTGGTTGGGTATCTTCATCACCTCCACCTCTGTCTTCTCCACATTCACTTGAGGTCCCGTCTTCCTTCTCTGCCCTGCCTCGTCTGTCAACTTGTTTCTTTTCGCCTGTACATCTTCGAGTTTTTGCGACAAGACACTAGACATAAATCATCATCGGTGACCAAATCCAAATCTTCTTCTGGGGTC